AGACCTCCAGGTCAGAGATGTCTGCTGGCAGGACCCAGGGTGCAAATTGAAGCACCTCATTCCAAAAATTTCAAGCCTTCCTTTTGGAAAATCTTAAGTCCTCTTGATTTAATAGGGCTCTAGGGAGCGAATTTGGAAGTCTTTTTGGCATGATGCTGAATTTCCCATTATAGGAAAGAAAAGAAGTGTTGTCAGTGGTGTTTAACGTTCCCGAGGCAGCCTGCCACCTGGGGATTGAGTTGATTTGACAGACACGGGCCTAGCCACAGATTTAAGGGACTGGCAACCATCCTTGTGACTTTTAACTGATTGCTGCATTACCAGATTTTTATGATAGTTTTAAAGGTTACTGCCTACACCCAGTCAGGCTGTCGGGGTCTGGAAAGAGGGCAGGGGGCCTTCAGCCACTATCAGGGAGTCGCCTTGACCAAGAGCCTTCAGTTGCCCGCAAACCTTATCCAGATCCTCGCGAAGGCGATAACCGAGATAAAGCAAAGAGAAAGAGATAGGGTGGTCCTCTGATGAGCCCCTTCCCCAAGAGAAGGTTTGCAGGAGAAAAATGGCTTTTTTAAAATTTTGTTTGTTTGTATGGCACAAGCCATCTTGAATTTTTAAGTGCTCTACAGAGGCTAGTTAATTTAAATTTTCACCTAACTGGTTTAGCTTGGGCTTGAGCACCCCAGGGGCAAGATAACAAAACAGATTAGGGAAGTTTATTTTAGAAGTTGACTTTAAAGCTTATATAAAGATCCCTTAGAACTTTGGGGACTTTTGTTTGTAGGGGTGTTGTTTAAGATAGAAAAGGAAAGTGGGGTGAAACACTGATTTCTAAGGGAATATGCCTAGGATCAAAACCCCAGGTGATTCCACTCAGTCCACAGCACAAGCCTGCCTGCAAATTTAAGAGATCCGGCAACCACTATAAGAGCAATTAACTGGTCATTGCGTTACCGGGTTTTTACATTAGAAAGGTGTATAGATAGGGGATCTTGTCTACACCCGGGCAGGCAGTTGGGGTCCGTTAAGAGGACTAAGAGCCTTTAGCTAACATCAGAAAGTAGCTCTGATCAGAAAGCCTCAGTTGCTCCTCTGTCTTTAATGGTCCCACGCGAAGACTCAGACAGAAAATAAAAGGAGGAAAAAGAGGAGAGACTGCCAATCCCCAAGGGTGGGGCAGCTTAGAGGCAAAGCTGTCTTTATCCTCCTGATGGGAGGTGATAGGAAAAAGAGATTGCTGATCTGCAAAGGTGGGATGGCTTAAAGGCAAAGCTGCCTGTTACCCTCCTGATGGGAGGGATACTCACAAACTCTGCATGTTCCAGGAGCCTCACGTTCAGGCGCCAGCTGCAGGGGTCTCTCCCTCTCTTCACGGGTCGTTGGCCACCGATCCACGAGGGCAGGGGGAGCAGAAGCGACGAACTGGGTCAGGACGGCCAGTGAGCACTGATGGAAGAAAGCACTTCCGGGGAGGCTGGTCCCAGGTGCAGTGAAACAGCAGTGATACAGCTCCAGACACAGTGAAACAGCTCCGTTTATTCATTGGGAGAACTAGAGAAATTATAGTGTGGAGGCAGTAGCCAAAGCCTCAGCTGATAGGTGCTCATAGTGTGCTTTATTTACATGTGGCAGTGGGCTCCTATCTTCCAGACTATCAGGCAATGCCTGATTATCATATAGAAAAAACCTGGGGGTAGTTTTTACTCCAGGTAACTG